AATCATTACGTTCACCTTGTGTGAAAAGTTGTGGTTCACCAGACGTTTCAGGTTGAAAACAACCAATATTATCATTTCTATTGAAATCAGATTCAGAAGCAGATGAAACTGTATCAAGGATCTCCGGTGGAGTAGGTACAGGTACATCAGGTTCATGAGCAACAGGTCTTATAGCAGATTGAAGGTTCAGATAAGAAATTTTCTTTTAATTTCGAGTTTTGTAGCCTTGAACGTTACATGAGCAAAAATAGCAGTCATTTCCGTGGTTTTTAGGCTCACACCAGTCCATGGGAATCCCAAAAGGCAAAGACTTTTTTTTCTTACCTTTAGTCCATTGTCTCAACTCTTTGACACAAACCAGTGCAAACTTTGTGTGGAGCCCATGATTTATCTTTGTCCCCCAAGTTTTATTCTAAAATACGCGTAATACACTTTTTTTGACGAATTCTTTACAACAAATATAATGGTATGTGTTTGGGTCATTTACACAACTTCTTGTTGCCATAGCGACGAATAAATAATATTGAAAAGAAAAAAAATATGTCGAAGTACACGCACAAACATACTGTCCAGATATGACATGTCATGCGGCCTGTTAACTGTTTATATACTAGCGGTGTGTTTCTCGTGGGTTCTACAACGATCGATAAGACCCTTAGGTCGCTATTGGTCTAGAGAAATCTATAGTCAGTGGTTGTCAACTTTTTAAGCATAATAAAATGTGACCCGATTTCAATGAAAATGATTCACTTATGTAAAAGTACATATGACGTTTTGTGGAAAATCTGTACGTGATGTAGAAAAATGGATGTCATTTTCAGATTCAGCGTATAGGAATTACATGTAAACATTTCAAGACAATAAAACCAACACAGGCCTGTTTTATCATTGATCAAAGCTATTTGTCTTACTACAGTGTCATGAGATTATCGTTATGTAATGCGGTTATTATATGTTTTTATCTCTGATGCTAAAATTATATGAGACTATTACTATTTAGAGGTGCTATTTCTACTCAAATAACATGGGATATTGTCGTTTAAAGGTGTTATTACTATTACCGAAATATTTTGTGACGTCGTTTATTTAAAGGTGTTTTTTTTTCTGTTGTTAAGGTAACATGAGATCTAATTTAACGGTGTTACTTATGTTGCTCAGGTAACATGAAATCTAATTCATAGATGTTACTTGTGTTGCTCAGGTAACACGGGATCTAATTTATAGGTGTTACTTGTGTTGCTCAGGTAACACGGGATCTAATTTATAGGTGTTATTTCTGCTACTTAAATGACACCAGGTGTCGTTGTTTAATATTCTTATATGTGTAATTCTCAAGTGGTGTGAAACTCAGAAAGACTGTGAACGACTACGACTTACTGACCTGCTTGTGAAGCCTATGCAGCGTGTAACGAAGTACTCACTGTTGTTGAAAGCTATTCAAAAGAAAACAGACAATGAAGATGAATTATCGGCATTGCAGGAAATGGTAAAAATTGTTTTACTCTGTCAAACCTAGATTACAAATATCCGAGCTAAGTAATTAATTTGGAGAATAACTTTTATGGGATATAAATACTGGAATTTTAGGTGAAATTATCACGTTTATTATCGCCACATGATAATTTTTGGAGACCTTTTTCCACAATGTTAACATTGGAATTAAACTATCTTTTAACAGTACGATCGGAATGTGAAATACAACTGAACTTGTATATCTTGAAGTATTTGCTCAGTGGATGATCTCTTGTTAGAAAGGCGACTTAAAAAGTGTATCTTTAGTATAGCTTCTAAAATTTTTTTGGATTAACGCAGCTAACGCTCGATGTCGACTAATAACCGTCCACTTGTCAATAAGTGAAACTATAGGTGAAAACGGTCAGTCTAAGGCAGATTAAACAGGTGAAAACGGTCAATCTAAGGCAGATTAAACAGGTGAAAACGGTCAATCTGAGGGTGAAACTATTTGTCTGTTTTTTCCTAATTTCACACTCAGATTAACTGCTTCAACAATCTGTAAAACTTTAAGCTCAAAGTTGTATATTTAGGATGAAACTACTAGGTGAAGATAGTCAACATGAACTGAAACTACAATGTGGAAACATTCAATCTGGGGTAAAACTATTAGGTTAAAACAAAACCAAAATTAAAATAACAAACCGCACACAATCTTAACAAGTTAGGCAAAAAATAGTAACATTAGAATGATGTTAATCTAGGTAATTTATTCAACAATGTTTCGAGTCTAAGCCTTTTTTTCAGGTTAGGCTTAAAACAACAATATATTCAACAATATAAACTATTTTCCAGATTAACATATTTCTATTGTTACCATTTATTTTCTAACTTGTTAGGTTAAAGCAGTCAATCTTCATTAATTTATATTTTTCATCAACATACATTGTTTTCACATGCGCTATTTCTTGTGTTAAAAAGAACACGTAATGGTTAAACGTTTGTTTTAATATGGAGTAACAAACACCCATGAAACTTCTTTCATCTTGACATAGCTTCTTAGTGGCTGTTTTTAAACTTGTCGGAATTATATAGATATATTATATACATATATAGAATGAATGTGTGGAAAATTTTGTATGTGTTGTGGACTCTACTCTTCGACAACATCACGAACGAGAAAGACTGGCTTCCATCTTGAACAGGATTGAAAGCTATGACGCCATTGAAAGCAACAATGACGAACTTGAAAAGGTTGGTAACGAGATTTTATTTCGACTTTAATTAACAAAGTTCAAAATATTTATAACGTTATGCTAGGTGTCTACCACACGTTGTAGATATTTTGTGTAGACTTGGATATTATTTTCAGTTTTGTGTGCGACGTTATAATATGTGGTGAAACATTCGTAATTTCAAAATTACTTGCGCACAGATTCACATCATATCAATGGAATATCCAATCGGAGTCCATGCAAGGTGTGTGTGTGTGTGTTCTAAGAATGCATGCCACCTGGCGGTAAAGATAATATGTGGTGAAACATTCGTAATTTCAAAATTACTTGCGCACAGATTTACATCATATCAATGGAATATCCAATCGGAGTCCATGCAAGGTGTGTGTGTTCTAAGAATGCATGCCACCTGGCGGTAAAGCCAGTATTGTCATTGGTCTGTGAATCTGTACACTATCTAAGCATTTTAGGATATCTGGTGTAAGTTATTTACTGAAATCCTATTTTCTAGTTTATACGAAACACCTGAACATCAACAAACAAGAAAATAAGGTGAATTTTAGAATTATTGTCACGATTCTCTGCAATATGAATGACGTTTTGTTACCGCTAGATACCTTAGTACATTGTACTAGATCACTATACAGGTAACAATACCTCTACCAGTTGGTTTCTCATTATCATTACTATCCAGATGTGCTAATTTCATCATCTTAAGAAACACCAAGCATTTTGAACTCTGGATATACTGTTATTTCGTTTAGTGTACGGCTCAATTTCGTTTTATTTTACAAAATGTCTCTTCTCCCCCCCCCTCCTTGTGCTCAGTAGTAAGCTTCAGAGCTTATAACGCTAGAATATGAGGGGGGTCTATCCTCGCGGCGAACATTATCACTATAAAACTCATGATCAAAGCTTGAGGAATTCAAAGGGAAAACGTATATCTTTATTGTTTGATAATAGTACTAACACATC